TGTGGTTTGGAAATGTGTGCACCACACTGATGTGGAGCAGAGACTCAAAGGCTAGAGCGGTCCGAGGAGCTCAGAACGAAGATTATAAATGTTTGTGTTAAAGTTAAAGCTACAAAACCATCTCCAGGCAGCTTCATGTTCCTTGGAGCACATCTGCCAGTGTTATGAAGAAGAATAAAGCGCACGTGACGGTGGCCAGCCTTCCAGAATGTGGTTGCAGGAGGAACTGGAGCCTCAGGTTGATCAGCTGATGTAGAAAAGGAGCTCAGGAAACCATCCCAAAACATTCAAGATGAACTAAGAGCGTCACTTTATGATCGCACCGTTTATCGTATTTGAACCTATAATGTGGCACGGTGGCTCAGGTGGTAGAGCAGCCGCCTCTCAGCGAGAAGGTTGCCGGATCGAATCTTGGCCGGGGACCTCTCTGGGTGGAGTTTGCATGTTCTCTCTGTGGGTTTTCTCCGGCTGCTCTGGTTTCCTCCCTAGAGTTGCATCCGTGTCCAAAAAATCCGACCCGGCCACAGCCCCTAGCCATCATTTCCAGACCCCACCCCATCTGACGAATTAACAGTAATTACAGGTCCAACCCCCCCAACATTTAAAATTAATCTTTGACTGCTTATATTAACAGTCGGTGGACGTGCACGGCTGAGTAAAAGGTGCAGAAGATCAGAGCTGAGGGGGCATTTGTCCTTTCATGGCCGTCAACATGCATTAAATCCCTGCTTCTGCTGCATTCTGCATGATTCAGACACGGACCCTGCTCTGACATGTCGGACATTTTGTGATCTCACCTGTTTGGGTCGTCGGCCGTGCACGTCCGCTGAGTGCAGCGGCTGAATGAACGTCCGTTTGGGCTGATGGATCTCTGGCAGTTGTCCATCTGAAGCTTCACTGAACTCTTGACCTCTTTCAAGGCCGGTCAGCGCGCGATCAAATGGCCACGTGCGGCTGGTGATTGTATGGCAAGCCATGTTGCCATATAATTGGATTGTCAATCGCGCACGTCCACGGACGCAATCAAAAGCCAGGCACCGACCTGGGCCGCACATTAAGCACATTATGATGGACCAGCCCGGTCTGAATCCGGGTCAGGCTCTGCGTTCGGGTTGGGAATGACAGCTCTGTTCCTCCCACAGACAAAAAACACAAATAGACTAATTGGTAACTCTAAATTGTCTGTAGGTGTGAGTGAGAGCGTCTCATTTGTCTCTATGTCCCTGTGATGGACATGTGGCCTGTTCGGTGTGTCCCCCGCCTCTCGCACAGTGACAGCTGGATATGAGCACAGTGACCCCCACATCCCGGAGAGGAAGAAGCGGGTAAAGATGATGGATAATTCAGAATGTGCTCCAGAGGAGCTCCACTGGTGACAGGAAAACACAAAGAAGACAGACAGGACAGACAAAGTGCTTGTTGACAGTTTCAGGGACCGATGAGACAAAACTGGAGCGTTCTGATCCAGTAGCTCCAGCTGTTTTTTTATTTTTAATTATTATTATTGTGGCAAGGTACCAACACATGTATCTCTGTTTGCACATTCCACTTCCAGTTAATTCCTTGTAGGAATTAAAAATGGGGAAATAGAGGAAATAAAAGCCTTTGTTCTTGTGAAGCGCGTGTTATTTCAGAGCCAGGTCCTGGTGGAACAGAATTTCCCTTTCCCTGACCTTTCAGCGTATCGTTCCCTCCGTGTCCAGCGAGAGCTTTTTGCACAAAGGAATGCAAACCACAAGTGAAGTTGGATCTCAGACTGAAATCTGGCGACCTTCAGGTCATACTGTCTTTGTCTGTTTTAGATTGCAGAGCATGTTGACTCCGCGGATGGATTCCTGAGCAAACTGTCCTTCTATAAAGCGCTGGCTTTGATAGCTCTCGCTCAGCAAGGGAAGCAACCGACTCCCAAACTCCTGGCAAACTGCATACAGGGTAGGTGCAACAGCGGTGCAGTAAAAGGTTTTGCTTAATGAGTAGCTTGGAGATTCTTTGCTGTGTCCAAAGGCAACCTCCGCTGTCCCTCATCTGTCGTTGGGGCAAATGTCACATTTTATTGCCTCACACGGTCGCTTTACCACTGGAATAAACCCGACAACTTCTTTGCTGTTCTTTGCTTTGAACAGACTTTTGCAAATATTTAACTGAAAGTTTCTTGCACAAAATTATCTTTCACAGCATTTCTTCACTTTTATTTTCATTTAAGAAATATAATTGCATGGGTCAAAGTGTGTTTGCTTGTTTGTAGCGTTAGCAAAATATCTCAGGAACCAGTGGAGGAATTTTAATGAAACCCTCAGCGTTGGGTTTGCATCTAAAACTGATTCCTTTTTGGAGTCGACCCAATTTAAGACAACCGTCCCAGAAAGGGACATTAGCAAACACAAAACTGAACTGTCGTTCACATATTCAGGTAAAAGTTGGTGTGAGAGTGGCTGAAAGTTCTGCCCAAATTATATCCTGAGCTTTAACTAATTATGCAAGATTTATTTTTAAAACTTTTGACTTTTATCTATTGGAATCAATTCAGTTCAATTTAGTTTATTTCTATAGAGCCAAGTCACAACAGAAATAGTCTCAGGGCACTGTAAAAAAAAACCATTCACATATATTATAAAAGCCAATTGGTAAGGTCAAGATCAAGGTCAAGGTTTCTTTATTGTCATTCGCATCATATGTGGTACATGTGGTGGAACAAAGCTGTTCACAGGGTCCCAGGTACATCCAGCAAAAGTATAACTTGTAAAATAAAAAAACAGTAATAAATCTAAGAGATGAACTAAGAATACACTAATATTATAAAAACAATACGCTGAACAACAGCAGCACGAACATGAGTCTGTGTGAGCAGATGAGTACGAATGAACACAGCAGCATGAATAAATCAGCAGCATGAGATCAGCAGCATGGATAGTCAGCAGCACATCAACAATCAAGTGGCATTACAGTGATTTAAAAAAATATATTTTTGTTGTTATAAAGTTGTCTGATCTGAGGAGGCAGCAGACACGTTGAATCTTCACATCGTCACAGCCTCCCAGCAAGCACAAAGGAGACAGTGGAAAGAAAAACTCCCTTTAACAGGAAGAAACCTCCAGCAGAACCAGGCTCAGGACAAGAGACCATCTGCTTCGACCAGCTGGGGTTTGATAGGACAGGAAGTAGAAACAGACAAAGAACGGCAGGTCCAGGTGAACTTTCCATTGGATAGAAAGGATAGAATAAAAACGAATAGAAACAGGTGGAGCAGAGCAAGTAAAGACAGAAACAGAGAGCAAACGCTGTAATGTTGTTCTCCAGCATTTTAAGCCTATAGAAGCATAACTAAGGGAGCGAGCATTCAGCGAGCAGCATGAAGGTGGCATTCTACGGCAGGCCGATTGCGTCATTAATAGCTGGTGAAGATTCTCAGTCATCCAGGACATGGCAAATTCAAAAAAGTTCAAGACAAAAACAATAAAGTATAATAAATAAAGTCCAGTTGTTTTTGTCTTGAACTTTTTTGAATTAGTCATTATAGCCATGTTTACATATTACATGATACAACGGCATGCCATACTACTCTGGTGCCATCTAGCAGCTGAAAAATGGCAGTGCTTGATTTTTTTCAGTCAGAATGAATAAAAATGGTCATATCTCAGTCAACCATTGGTTTATAAATATGGGAAAAAATACATAAATACATTGATTGGTCATATAAATCGCAGGGCATGCAAATTATGCAAAACTTGTTTAATGATATATATGTTTTAATGAAGTGGGCCGGATTGAAGTCACCTACGAGCCGGAAATGGCCCGCGAGCCACCAGTTGAAAAGCCCTGGTGTAGGGGGAAAATATTGGTATTGATTATTGGCCAAATAAGTTTTAACATATCGGCATATCAGATATCGGCCAAAAATCCAGTATTGTGCATCCCTGTTTAAAATCCCTTGTGTTAAGTGTCTAATTACGTTCCATTTTTTTGCATTTCTTCATGGTGGGAGGATGTTTTTGCATTTCTTCATGGTGGGAGGATGGCAGGAACGTTCTTGTGGTTTTCCTTGTGGTAACAATTGTGCAGACCAAGTTCAATCTATCCACGATGTTCTGTTTTAAAGCCTTCTTGTTTTTTCAGGGGTGGCTCGTATGGCAGCTTGCTGCATGTCTTTTATTAGAACTAGTTTTCTGCAAGTGTGACAGTAAATTACATTCCAAGCACAACTGTCCTGGAATGTCCTGGAAGGAATAATAATAATAATAATTCACGTGAATGCTGTGCACAGTACAGTTGCAGTTACACACAGGGTGAAACAGGAAAGTGGCTTTAAATGAAGCTTTTGAAAGTCACATCACGGCGAGAGCATTGATTCCAACACGGAAAACAAATGTTAGCTCTTCTTGTGCGCTTGACAGAGTTCCCCAAACCTCATCTGGGGGAGCCGAGGGAGCTGAGCGCTCTGAGGATGCAGCCGGCTCAGGACGACGCGCTGACCGTTTCACAGACGCTGGACAAACTTCTGTCCAGAGACACGGTCCAGGTGGAGCTCATTCCTGAGAAGAAGGGCCTCTTCCTCAAACACGTGGAGTACCAGGTCACCAGCCAGGCAAGGACCTGCGCACACGAACAATTACACCAACACATACGTTTGTTCCTGCTTCTTTATGAACTCTTTTCTTTTCTTTGTTAGCGTTATAAAATGTCAGTTTACAGACGGTACAGTGATTTTGACGTCTTCCATGAAGTTTTGCTGCAGAGGTTTGCCTACAGAGTGGTTCCAGCTCTGCCACCGAAAAGGATGTTAAAAGGAGGTAATGTGTGTGTGTGTTGTGTTCTTTTTATATATTTCATATAAAGAATAAACATTTCTAAGTCAGAATATATTCTGAGTCATTACAGAACCTCAAAGACAGACAGACAGAAACCAGCGATGCATAAAACGAGCCTGTTTCACTCCTAAAATGTAATTATAGCTTTAGGTGATATTTACATTCACACGGAGGAAACCCCAGAAAAACACTTTGTGTTTAAATTATGCCACCGGTAGTTTTTTGACTGATCTCACTGAAGTTCATTTGACTTTGTTGTGCAGAATTAGTGGGCTTGTTCTTTGGCTTTTATTAAAAACTGTTAAAAAATGAAACGTGTAGTATATAATGTATGTAGCATTGAACGTAAGAAAGCACGTCCTTGTTTAATTTTACTTCCAGTAGACTCGACCTGAAGTTTTTATATTTGAATTGTAGGTTTTCTTGCATTTATAACTGTTCATATTTGTGTTGAGACTCTTTAAATTCACAACTTCAGCTTCCTCTCTACTTACACCTGCATGAAATAGTTTGGTGAATTTTCGCAGCGATCTTTCCTTCTAAATGCTAAAATAATTTCTACAGACGGATTGTTTCCTTGTGTTTGTCCACAGTCTTGACCTCCGTCTCTGAGCGCGAGTTCATCGAGGGGAGGAGACGAGCTCTCGGCAGATTCATTAACCTGGTGGCTCGACATCCCCTCTTCTCTGAGGACGAGCTGGTGAAGACCTTCCTCACCTTCAGTGGCTCCGTATGCTTTTTAACTTTTTTAATGTTTGCTCTGGTGGTTTTTGCTGCACAATAAGTGACGTGCATCGGGGGAACGCTTCCTGCTTCATCTGCTTTGTGTCCTCTTCCGCTCGTCCTGCTTCCGATACAGGATGTCCAGACCAAGCTGCGGGACACTTGTAGGAAAATGGGTGATGAGTTCATGACCAACAGGACTGCAGCCCAAGCTAAGGTTAGTTCTGTAATGGCTGAGTCGGCATCGCGTTATCGTCCTCCTGTTTAGTTTCTGTTGTGCATCTTTGCATTAAAGCTTCTTCTGCACATTCTTACTGTTTTTATACCGTTCAGAGAGCATCACCATGTTCTGCTTAATTGGGAATAGTGTAATGACTTTAGCTTTTTGTCATTTTTATACTTTCTGATTTAGTTTTATTTACAAAAAATCAAAAATCCCCATAGAAATACATGGATGTATTTTTCATGCCTTCACACACACATGCACGCACACATGCACGCACACATGCACGCACATTCTAAATGTGTTTTAGCATACCTGCTTTTTTTTTTTTTTAAAGCGTACCTGCTCTTTTTTGTCTCATGCTCCTTTTAGCTACTGTCTTGCTCATTTTAGCTTTAGCTATAATTTTAGCTCATTTAAGCTTATGGCTACAGCTCTATTTGCTTTTAACTTTGCTTTACTACGTTTGTCTTTTAGCTACAATTTAGCTAATTTTAGTAGATTTTTTTTAATTTAGGACTGTTTTACTCACTTTTGTTTTAGATATGGTTTGGCTAATTTGAACTTTTTTAGCTTTTGTTTTGCTAGTTAGAGATTTTAGTGACTGATTTGCAAAGTGTAGGTTTTAGCTAGTGGGTTTAAGATGTTGTTTTGTCTTTTTTTGAAGTTTTAGCTACAATTTTGCTAATTTTTGTTTTTAACTACATTTTTTAAATTTAAGTTTTACCTACTGAGTTACTCATTTTTGCTTTAGCTACTGTTTTGATAATTTTAGCTTATACTTACAATGTTATGTATTTTTAGCTTTTGTTTTGATAATTAGAGGTTTTAGTGGCTGATTTGCAAAGTGTAGGTTTTAGCTGGTGATTTGACAACTTTGGGTTTTACATTTTGTTGTCTATTTTTAAGTTTTAGCTACATTTTTCAAATTTTAGGTTTCAGCTTCTGTTTAGCAAATTTTAGCTTTTAGTTTCTGTTTAGCTAAGTTTAGAGTTTAGTTACTGACTTGCTATTTTTTAGGTTTAGCTAGTGAGTTGACAGTTTTAGTATCTAGATACAGTTTGGCTTATGTTAGATTTTAGCTTGTTGCTGACTTTAGCTTTTAGCTTCTGCTCTGTTCAATCCAGAGTGCGGTCACAACAAAAGACTCTTGCTTGCCTTGTTTCGCAGGAATATCTCCCAGCAGACATTCAGGCTCAGTTTTCAGCGAGCAGAGAACTGATCAGAAACATCCACAACAGCTTCCAAAGACTGCGGGACCGAGCGGAGAAAATGGCCGAACGCTCCAAGGAGAATGCGACGGATCTGCTCATGTTTGGTCGGGAGCTGAGGTATTTTATTATGAAGGCTCTAAAGTTAGTTCTCCTCTAATATCTGGAGGCTTCCAACAACAACATTCAAATAGCTGAGACACTCCAATATTAGAGTCCGTCTTTATTAACGTTCCTGCAGCACTCTGGGCTCGGATGCGTCGCCTCTTCCCTCCTTGGCCTCGTCACAAAGCACCTGGGGGGCCTTGCGTCACTCTCTGAAGAACCTGTCCGTGGAGTTTTCTGTCTTATCTGACAAAGCTGCTCAGCAGGTATAGAATTCAGACTCTTCCTGCTGTGCTGCTCATAGCAGGCACCGAGGGATGACTGTGGTTCTGTTTGTGTCTTCAGGGCAGACGGGAGGAGGACGATGTTGTGGAGAAACTCAACTTCTTCCTTGATTTGCTTCAGTCCTACAGGGTGAGTGAGATTTTTTAGGTTTTTGGAGTTGTCTTTGAAACTCCATCTTGATGAGACAAGTTGGTGGAATTGAAGTATCTTTATATAAATCCAAATAATAAAAAACTTATTCTGGAACAATTTCCTTTGGACACAGACTAAATTAGGAACAGCTGGAGATCATGCCAGCTGTCCAGCACAGTGATGGGGGGTTAATGATGTGGGCTTTTTTTGCATCTAAGCATTTTGAGTTGAGCATGAACTCATCTGTCTACCAAAATATTCTAGAGACATTTGTGATTTCATCTGCCCAACAGCTTGACTCAAAACTGGCCATAAAAGTAAATCAGTAAATTGACAGTAGAACGGCTGCAAAAGAGAAAAACTGACCCGGATGCTGCAGCACGCTCTCACAGAAGCTGTGCACAAACTGAAGGCCACAAATATCAGTAACTTAACACACTAGTTTGAAGAAATGTGACTTGCAGGTCATTCAGGAAATTACTTCAACTTATTTGAGCTAAAGGTGGTTTTACAAGATAACCACACATTTTTTATTAATGCATTTTGTTTAAGAAAATCAGTTGCTGTCATATATTGTCCATTTGAGGTTGTACTTAATGAATGTAAAGTTTTTTTAGTTTGGATTAGGCCTGTCACGATAAACAATAAATCAGTTAATCGCATGATAAATGAAAATTATCATCCTCATTTTCATGCCGTGTCTTCGTGTCTCTCTCTTTCTACTGAAGACACTGGATGACAAAAGACTCAACTCCAGTGCTCTTCTGTCAGATATTTATCTAGACTGGTCCAGGGGTTTTTGATCTGCTCAGAACCGAGTCATAATTTCATTATAATCTAACTCTCTTTGTACATAAACAGCTTCCTTCACCCCCTCTCAAACCATCTGTGTTCTCGGTCCAAAACGTGCACATTCTGGTCCTCAAAAGAGTGTCTCTTATCCCTGAGGTGCAGGTGAACAGCTGAGTCTTGTCCTGAGGAGCTGGCTCTCCTGTGTTCAGACATGCGTCTGTGAAGTAAATGTGTAGTTTCTCCAATGTAGAGGTCTGGACAGTCCTCGCTGCACTGGACTGCATAAACCACCACTCTGCTTAGTTTCCTTGGTTCACTGAAACGAGGAAGCTCCTCGGATGAGAAGTGAAACGTCTTCAGTTACAAATAAAGTCCAGTTGTTTTGGTTTTAACTTTTTTGGACTGACCGTGTCCTGGATGACTGAGAACCTTCACCAGCTATCCATCCTTCTGTTCAAACAGTCTTATACTGCCACCCGGTGGTCACAAATGGTACTACATGCAAAACAAATTAAACATTTCTTCTTAAATTTGACAATAATGACTAATTATTGTCAAATTTCAAACAATATTATCATTTATCACAATAATTTCTGAGACAATTAATCGTCCAGCAACATTTGTTATCGTGACAGGTCTAGTCTTGATGCATTGAATGTTCAGTTAAAACAGTGTGTACTTATTTCTTTACAGTACCGTGTGATTTTTCCTTTTCATGAGCGTAGATTTCATTTAGCACGACTCATCGACTGATTAAACCTCAGATTTTCAAACAATCATTGGTTCCATTAGACAATCAGGGTACGTTTATGAATAATTTATTAATGCTTAATAAATACGGGATTCGTGAGTTTGCACCAGACTATTTTGCTTTTTTTTAATAGTTGCTTAGGATGACTTTTTTATAACATTAAACAATTTCATTTGCATAAACAAACTTTGTCTCTAGAATTGCTCATAGTGTTTCAGCAACTTAAATGAAAACATTCACATTTAAAATCCAAATGAGTGTATAAAGAATAAATAAAAACAGTAAGAATGGAGCATACAGATACATTTGGCAATAAGAGTTGTGTTTTATTTATTGCACTGTAACTGCTTATTGGTGGTTTATAGAGTGTTAAAGCTTAATTAACAACACATTATTTATTAATAATGTGCCATTATTGTAAAGCACATCCAGTTATTAAATAATAAACCTGTCATAATTTTCTCCAGTGCTTCGTCTGCCACTCCTGGTGTTTTATTGCTATGAAGCGCCATTGTTCTGCCAGTTCCAGTCAGGCTCCAACAAGCGGCGCTTTGTGTGTTTTTTCGTAGGATCTCTGCGAGCGTCACGAGAAGGGCGTTCTTCACGAGCACCAGAAAGCCCTGCACAAGTACAGCGTGATGAAGAGGCAGATGCTGAGCGCCACGGTGCAGTCCAAAGAGCCATCATCTGTGGAGCAGCTGGAATCACGGATCGTTCAGGTCATTGTTCTTTCAGTGGTGCTTTGTTCCCCTCGTGTAGAACCCACGGTTTAAAACATCTCACCACTTGATAAATAAAGTGCTCGCCTCGGCTGAGAGTATCTGCGACCAACATTGCACTTTAAACTCAAATTTAAGCCAAACGAGTGAAATTATAAGTAAAAGCCACGCCGCTGCAACGATGATGTTTTAAGTAAAGGAAGAATTAAAAACGAGGAGTTTGGAGAGCAGGAATAAATTCCTTTGGTGTGGACTTTAGGCTTTTGAACTCTGCAGACCTGTTTTTATGCAGGAACACTACAAAAAGGAAAATCCTAAAAGCGTAACGTTCTCTTTCATCCTTTTGAAGTATTCAGTGTACTGTTGTAAATAACTGGTGCATTTTGAAGGAGTCAAAGCGTTCATTCAGGCCCCGGTACAAAGATGAGTCACGTTAAGACGGTAATTAACTTGCAGTGTCCGTCTGCAGCCCTGGTGGCTTTTATCTTGTGGATGCAGCTCCAGGTTTGTTTAGACATTTGCAGCATAATTCCTCCTAAAACATTATTTTTGTTTATAAAAATATTCAATTTTTCATATATTCAATGTGGATTCTGACCAGTTTAGTTGTCAGTCAGTCTTCAGCTACTTTGTAGACACCTTTTTTTAATTTGATGAGATGGAGCATTTTGGATTGCCATGAACAGTAGTCCCTCGATACTTCACGGTTCAACTTTCGTGGACTCACTCTTTTGTGGACTCACTCTTTCGTGGACTCACTCTTTCGTGGACTCACTCTTTTGTGGACTCACTCTTTTGTGGACTCACTCTTTTGTGGACTCACTCTTTGGTGGACTCACTCTTTTGTGGACTCACTCTTTGGTGGACTCACTCTTTGGTGGACTCACTCTTTCGTGGACTCACTCTTTCGTGGACTCACTCTTTTGTGGACTCACTCTTTTGTGGACTCACTCTTTTGTGGACTCACTCTTTTGTGGACTCACTCTTTCGTGGACTCACTCTTTTGTGGACTCACTCTTTTGTGGACTCACTCTTT